CTCTCGCTCTCCAGGCTTCAGGAAGACATCCGTAGCCTAGGCAGCCCTGCGGGAGTTCCCTGCAGGAGCTGAAAGCAGAGCGCCCGGCGCTTTGGGAACGCATCCGCAGCCTGCTTCCCGGAGCGCCCGGTGCTTCGGGAACACATCCGCAGCCTAGGCAGCCCTGCGGGAGGTCCCGCAGGGCTGTCTAGGCTGCGGATAGCAGCCTGCTTCCCGGCGCGCTGAAAGCAGAGCACCCGGTGCTTCAAGAACACATCCGCAGCCTAGGCAACCCTGCAGGAGGTCCCGCAGGGCTGTCTAGGCTGCGGATAGCAGTATGTTTCCCGCAGCGCCGGGCGCGCTGAAAGCAGAGCGCCCGGCACTTAGGGAACACATCCGCAGCCTAGGCAACCCTGCGGGAGTTCCCTGAAGCAGAGCGCCCCGCGCGCCAGACAGACATCCGCAGGGCTCCCCACACTGCGGATAGCAGCCTGCCACCTGGCGGGAGGGGCACCCTGAAGCAGAGCGCCCCGCGCACCAGGCAGACATCGGCCAGCCCCACAAGCTCGGGGGACAGCAGGGAGGTGCAGCGCCGCCATCCCGCTGTTGCTCGACCTGGTTCGGTTTCCCCGACCTGGTTTTGGGGGGGAAATAAAGGGGGGGATTTCCTTTATTTCCCCCCCCCCCAAAAAACTAGGTGCGTCCTATGGGACGGAGCGTCTTAGGGGACGAAAAATACGGTATGTTATTGTGAATTTTTTCTTACAATGGTTGATTTTGAGATGCTTTCCTGCTTCCTTTGCTGCAAGCTGCTTTGAGCATGATTCTTTTTTGTGGAAAAGTGACATACAAATACAATTATGAATGAATGAATGAATGAAACAGGCTGAGCCTGGGGTCTTCTCCTATGGAGTAACAGGACCCCCCCCCCATCTGATCTCTGGCCTGCTTCACATGGAAATAAGGGCAGAAGGCGGAAAGAAACATCAACTAGCCTTAGGATTAGACCAGGTTTTGAAACAGTTCCACATTGCAAACCCTCCCTATTTTACAGTAGACAGATCCCCAACCTCACGTTTGCTGATCCACAAGATGGCTTGGCCACCCAGATTCCCAAACTGGATTTCTCTCTGTCTTACAAAGAGTCAGGTTTGGGGTAAGGGCAAGGAGGCTGGAACAGTTCAAAAAGCCTGGAGCCTCGCCTATAAAAGTCTACCAAGCACATGGATGGAATAAAAGAAGGATCCAGGGTCTTGAATGAGCACAGTTAAGATTCTTTCTTTCTAAAGGGATTTTCAGATGCATGCAGCCCTGCAAGGAGAGAAAGGAATGGAATTCCAAAAGGGGCACAGAGAGACAAAGGAAAGGATGGGGGAGACAAACAAGCCTGGGGTCTCATCTTGGAATGAAGACAGGCAGAAGGGTAATGATTTTGAGCCTTCACCACAGATGGCAGTGTGGCGTTAACTGGTGGGAAAGAAATTTGAGAAAGACAACACACAACCGGTTTCACATAAATCTGTGCTTAGACCTGATGGTTCAGATAGCATGCAACAGAATGAATATTAAGGAAATGTGTCTGGCAGCCACAGAACCACCTCATGTTTACCCTGCCTATACTAGGATAATCACAGTTGTATATGCTTTTTAAAAATCAAATTGTTAATTACTGCAATCAAGTATTTTTTTAAAAGCATCCAAGGCACTGTTTGGAATGGGAACCAATGCCCTTATCAGCAACACTGCTTATCATCGCAGTTCAGGCTTTTCTTTTCATTTTTAATGACTGCACATATTTAGAAATTTCAAGTACCAGAAGATGCCAAACTTAAACCCAAACCCAGTTCAGGAGTGAGAAGTCACCTTGCTTCTTAGAGCAAAGATTTAAAATATACTAAATTCGCAGATGATTCTCAAAAATCAGAACTCTGCTCATAAGCGCACCTCAGTGGCTTTATCAACACAGCGGCTTTCAGGTCTGATTAGAGACCTAAAAGAAATAAGGAAAGATTTGAACACAGAGAGAGAGATGGAGAGAAAAGAACCCCCTGGATAAAAAGCCACAGAGTAGCTGTTTTTGAGAAAGGTTTCTGAAAAGAAACCATTTTTTTGCAGAAGAACTTGGTCCTATTTGTATGTGACTGAAAGCAACTAGGATTCCCCCAAAAGGCAGCAGAGATCGTCTCCTGGATTTATCCACAAACCACAGGCCTTCCTTCCACAGCTGTCACAAACAAAGCTGCCCGTAAGCCACGCGACTTGGGTGAACCACAAGCTTTATTGAATGCTCTGCTGAAGATAAGCCACACAGCCTGCACATCCCTTTGTTCCAAATAGCCATTTTAGGATGGATCTCTGCTGTGCCTCTTAGCCCTGTATCACACACCCTTCCCTCCTTTGTGCCTCCCCCCCATGCACACACAAAGAAGCTCTGTGCTGTATATGCTTGTCCCAAATTCATATGCAGCTCAAGTCTCTGAGTATCTGGGACTCAGTGGTTTCCTTGGTTCACAGCTGATCTGTGCATGTTGTGCTTGTGATCCCAAGGCATTTCACACTTCAGAGCAACTCAGGATATACCCCAGACAATCTCCTGCTACAGCTTTCTCCCTGGGTCTCCAGTCAAAAAACTAGAAGATATTTTATATCAGTGACCAAGACCAGTCATGCAAAAGCACAAACAGGCAGACCCTGAAACAAAGAATGCAGAGACATAAAATTCAATTACTGGGAGAGACCCCTGAACCTCAGGAAAGTTTATCCCATCAGTCTCCAGAAATTGGATTAGCTGACAGCCCCAGAGTTGTTTAAACTATTTAAAATAGGTCTTTTGTATGCTAAACAGGGGCTCTGTTTTTGAATTGCAAATACCAAGCAAATCATTATCTCAGTTCCTGAGATGGACAAGGCTCCTGGATTAACAAGCAGCAGCTGCTCATGTCCTTCCAGGTGCAATGTTTGTAGTTGGGCTGAGAAAAAGAAGAAATTAGGGGATGCAAATAAAGCTGAAACTCAATGAGAAATAAAAAACACCTCTGGCAGTAAGTGAAAATAATGAACTCTGCATATTTCATGTTTTACAAAGGAAGGTGTGGGCCTCCCTTCCCTTACTGCCCCTACTCGATCCCAAACATGCTAGGCGCTAGATGTGGTCTCCCACTGGCAGTAGGGAGGTGGGTGGGCATGGAAAAATGCAGTCCCGGGAGCAAAGAAGTGCAGCATGAACTTTCAAAGCCAATGAGAGGTCTTGCACGGCTCTGCAGAGTCTACCTTCCTCAAACACAACCAACATCAACAGATGGAGAAAGCACATAGAGAAGTTGCAAGAGCACCTTGACTCTGAAAGGGCTGTTCATCTGTCTCTCTCACACACACCCTCACACAATTTTTTTGACACATTCAACCATCCTTGTGCTAGACAGCACTGTCTACAAAGAGGCAACTTCATACTGAACTGAAAATGCTATTTTGGACACAGGACCAAAAGCAAGATATCTAGCTGGGTGGGAGGGCAGAACTGGCTCAGAGGAAGGGAAGTGAGCTTACAGCAGAAAAGATAAGGCCCAGTAATCCCTTAGGTGTCTGGGGCTTTGAGCCTGCTTGGTAACATCATCTCACTGAACAATGGGGAACCTGTGGACCTTCAGACGTTGTTGGCCTACAAATTCCATCATCCATGCTGGCTGGGAATCATCCAGAGGGCCACATGCCTGAGATCTACGATCTCTTGTGTGAACCGGCCTAAAATCAAGAGATAGGTACCACCACTTGCTAAATCAGTTTTCTCCAGCATGGAGCCCTGCAGATATTTTGGACAACAGCCTCCATCAATCCCAGCCATGCTGATGGGATTTGGAGTCCAGCAACATCTGGAAGGCACCCTAAATAGTTGGGTATTGTTTTCATTGTTAGCTCAGTCTTAAGTACTAGCCAATGGGCGATAAAGGATGGATTTCGGGTAAAGGCAGAGGACTTTGCTTACCCAAAAAAATGAAATCAACTTCAAAACGAAACAAAAACCCGTGTTACACTTGAATAACCCGCATTCATGGTTCCTGCTAATTGCAGAGGGTGGAAGAACAGAGCAAAAAAAAGAGAGGATCTTTAAGGTTCCCAAGCGCAAACTGGACAGCTGTAATGTGCAGAGATGGTAACAGATTACTATAAAATTGCTCTTGAATGGGCAATGGGGGAGGGCTGAAGGAATTGCCAGATCATAATGTCTGGAAGAGGGAAAGATACCTGGGAAATATTGGAATGCTTTTATTACTGTGCTAGAACACTGGAGTGAGAATTGAAAGGGTTGGAGAGATTACATGTTCTATGGAGCGAAAGATTCTCTCTCCAGAAAGGAGAAATGAGGCAAGGGGAGATGTATTAACCCTCCATAGGTTTTTTTAGAGTCAAGGAGTTTTCTGTTTGCAAAGGATGGGATGAAACCAAGAGGAAATCTAGATCCCAGTGTATTTTTAAGAAGCCAGTGCTAGAACACCAGATCCTAACCCAGCTTCCTCAAAAAGAAATGTTGATTGGGAATTCTTCCCAGGCAAGCATCTCCTGGAAGGTTCCACTGGAACCAAGGGAACTATTTCCCCCCAAATCAGGTGTGCTTGGGATTGTGAGACCAAGTTGGACTCTTCAGGGTTTTTACTCAAAAACTGGGCAACAGGAAGATCACAAGGGCTCTCCCTGGAGATAAGGAGAGTGGAGGATAGCAGGCCTCAATTCTGTGCGTGTTTACTGCAATGTAAACCAGGGTCTTATTCCCATAGGAACATAATAAGAGCCTCTTGTATCAGGCCATGGCCCCTATAGCCCAGTATCTCCTGTTCTCACAGTGTCCCCACAGGGAATGTTGAGCCGTTGGCCTGATCCAGCTGGCTCTTGTGAGGTTCTCATGGGAAGACGACCCTGGTTTCCTTTAGAGTAAACATGCACAGGATTGAGGTCTGCCATCCTCCACTCACTTTATATCCATGGAGAGCTCTGGTTCTTATGGGACACCAGATAAGGCCAATTGCTCATTTAGCCCAGCGTCTTCTTCCCATCAGGGCCGGCTGGGCTGCTGAACCAGACGGGGCATGGGCCTGATCCAGGGGGGTGTTGTTCTGAACGTAGTAAGGTGACGCGCCCGCCACCCCAGATGGGCCCGCTCCATCCGTAGGGATCTCCCTGCTTTGTCCCCCGCCCCGCCTGTGTCTCACCTGGTGGGGCGCAGCTTGGCGTCCTTTTTGCTGTCCACCACGGCCGGGACGCAGTTGGTCAGCTCGGTCCAGTCGGCGTGTAGCCCGCAGCTCCAGCCAGTGGAGAAGCGGGAGAAGAGCCAGGTCTCTCGCTTGCCCGGCCGGAGGCAGGTGCACTTTTTCTGCCCGGCCTTGCACTCGCAAGGTTGCTCCAGCTGGATGTTGCGCACCAGGTGGCGCCCGAAGGTGGTGCCGCCCGTCTTCTGGATGTGCAGGAAAACGATCAGATCGTCGCCAGCGATGTGGAAGTCCACGCGGCGCAGCAGGTCGGCTTCCGAGAAGTTCAGGCGTGGCACGAAGCGCGGAGGGCTCTCGTCCTCCGCCCGGTAAGGGTCCCCTCCCTGGCCGGCCTGACGCGCCAGCAGGGCGGACGGGGCGGCCTCGGCCAGGCGCTGCCGCAGCTGGCACTCGCTACCAGGGCACACGTACTGCAGCACCAGCCCCCCGAAGAGCAGCAGCATCACCAGCGCCGCCAGTCCCCGGTGCCAGCGCTCCTCCATGGCCGGGGCGGGCGCATCGCCGCCGCCCGACGGCCCCGGTCACCGCCCCGCCAGCGTCGTCGCCGCCGTCCTCCTTCTCGCCGCTGCCTCCATACCGGTGCGCACCGAAAAACGGCTCCCTCCACCTTCTCCTGCCGCCGACGCCGTCGCTCTGCCTGCCCGCTGCGGCTCCAGCGCCCGCCCCCGGCCCGCCCCTCGACGGCTGCAGTCCCCGCCTCAGGAGCGGCCTCTCCACTCAGAAGAAGCCTTTGTCTTTTCTGCCGGAGCGGCCGCGCCTCGCTTGCCTCCTCCTCCTCCTCGGAAAGGCAGCCGGACCCACCCCGAGCGCAGCGCCGACCCCGGCAGGAGCAGAGACCGGCTTAGTGGCCCGATCCTCCACTCCAAAGACGCGTCTCGCTCTCCTGGTTGCTGGCGCGGTTTCTCCCTATCGCTCCTAGGAAGAGGCGCCGCTGAAAGATTCACACGTCCTGGGGGGACCTGGGCACTGTCGCTCTTCCACGCAGCTTTCTCCGGCTCCCCCCCCCCCCCGTCCAGTTTGGGAGCCTCTAAGGCCGTCTCCTTTCCCTAGAGCCATCATTTATTTCCCTCTCACACACGCGCGCCCATATAATGCCTGCCTTCCATGTTTCCACCCTCTGGGTTGGCAATGGCTTTTCCCAACCTGGTGCCCTCCATGAGTTTCTGGGACTCCCATTCCCATCATCCCTGACGAGGCAGGCACTGTGATCTGAAGAACACCAGCCTAGGGTTGAAGGCCAGTCTCGGGGATCACACCAGAATACATTCAGCAGGGGGAAATGGCCTCTCTTAGTAGGTGAAGAAATTGACACCAGCAGCACCAGCTTTCATCAGAAGGTCTCAAGGTTTAAAATTCAGAATTGAAAACGTATGGGTTAAGAACACTAGATGCTACCAGGAAGCCCAAAAGCAAACCACGAGGGCAATAGTTGCAAGTGTGTCGCCAGCATAATGGAGACTAGGGCTGTGAGTAACAACACTCAGATGTACACTGCCTCTGGATATGGAGGTTCTATTAATCAGGGCTAATAAGAACATAAGGAAAGCCTGGTTGCTGAATCAGACCAAAGGCCTATCTAGTCCCATTTATCACAGAGGCCAAGCAGGTGCTTAATAGAAGCCTACTGGTAGGACATCATTACTGCCATTATAGAGTTGGAAGGGACCCCTAGGGGTAATCTAGTCCAACCCCCTGCAATGTACTTCATTTTATGCCACCTTTCCATTACAGGTGGCACCGTGGGTCAGCGCATCTGGTTGTCCACCAGAAGGCTGGTGGTTCATTTGGTGGGGAGAGAGACTGTACTCCTATTATATCTCCTCACACTTTTCCAACATATTTTTTGAAAGTGAGCCAAGATGAAGGGCATATTGCTAACCTCTCCCACTCCCCCCAAAAAAGTATCCAAGGCATGGAAACGATCAAGTTGATTTGATTCCATTTGAGTTCCACTCCTACCCAGAATAAATGTGTCATTTGAAGGAGCTGTGTTGTGAAATGTTCAGTTTGCAAAAGGCTATGTATTTCCATTCCAGTGTTTCAAGCAATCTGAAGGGGGGGATGGGTATATTCAATCCACTTGTTTTTGCTTTAACTATGATATATTTACTTTAAAAATTAATAGACACATAAAGCAAGGAGGGAGGAGTCCTACACATTGACTGCTAATTCATTGTGGGAATCAGAGGTCATCTAATTTTGATGTGAAATTAATACATACCATAAAAGACGTGATGCATACAGGGGATGGCGCTCCCTGACAAACCATTAGCAGGAACGAGCTAAAATAAGCAATGATCAGTCCTTCACAGTTGAGGTATCATTGCCCATCTTCCTGCATCAAGCCAGTTGCCGCTTACCAAGCTGAATGTGGGAAATGGATGTGCACTTTCCATTTAGGCTGGAATTGTGCCTGTCAGATCTGACCAGTCTTTCCACCACCTGCCGCTATCTGGTGCCTTCTGCATGCAAAGCAGATATTCTGCTGTTGAATGAAGCCCACCCCCTTCTTTCCATGCTTCCGTGCTTCAAGAAATATATTAGCATGACTTCATTCAGCATTCACAGGGGCCCCCATTCCTGATCTCGAAGCATCAAGGCTGCTTCCCTGCACCCCTTCTGGACCCAGGAGCCTGGTGGGGGGCAGACGTTGCAAGAGGGTGGCTGGTCTTTGAGTGAAGGGCTCTGGGCAGGGAAGGCTGCCCAGATTGCTGCAATGTGATACATGTAATGTGATATAATGAAAGATAGGCAGAAGGCACATTTGGGACACACACACACACACACAGAGAGAGAGAGAGAGAGAGAGAGAGAGACCCTCCTAGTGTCCCTATTTTCCAGGGATGTCCCTGATTTAGAGAAGCCTTCTAGGGCTGCCATACGTTTGGACTGTCAAAATGGCATCCAGTCGGATTTTTGCCGAATCAGTAAAAAAATGTCTGGTGAAACCAGGACATTTGGCAACCAGGGCAATTTTTAAAAGAAAAATGCTGTAAAAAGCCAAAAAAAGGAGCCCCAAACCTTTTTTTTTCCCATTAGAGAAATGTTGGAGGAGATAAATAACTATACAACCTTTAGAAGACATCTGAAGGCAGTCCTGTATAGGGAAGTTTTTAAATATTGAATGTTTTATGTATGCTGGAAGCCATCCACAGTGGCTGGGGAAACCCAGCCAGATGGGCAGGGGATAAATATTCGTATTCTTATTAAACAGCATGTCCCTATTTTCACTGGAGAAATGTTGGAGGGTTATGTATAATGTTTTCGCCTGGTGCTCAAAGATATGCAATGAAGGCACCCACTGAGCCTCCCTGGGAAGAGCATTCCACAGTTGCCAGGAAGCCACCACAGCTCATGCCAGCACCCCCTTTTTATTTTTTAAAGATAAGAGCATATGAATGAATACTAGCTGTGATAGCTGGGCTCCTGAAGACTCCTGGGAAGTGTAGTTTGCTAAGGGTGCTGACAATTGTTAGAGACCTCTGTTCCCCTCACAGAGCTACAATTCCTGAAGTGGTTTCACAATCAATCTTCCTTCCTAGGAGACTCCGGGAATTTTAGCTCTGTGATGGGAATAGGGGTCCTCCCAAAAACTCTCAGCACCTGTAACAGACTTCAGTTCCCAGCATCCTTTGGGCAAAGCCATGACTGCTTAAAGAAGAAGAAGAAGAAGAAGAGTTTGGATTTGATATCCCGCCTTTCACTCCCCTTCAGGAGTCTCAAAGCGGCTCACATTCTCCTTTCCCTTCCTCCCCCACAACAAACACTCTGTGAGGTGAGTGGGGCTGAGAGACTTCAAAGAAGTGTGACTGGCCCAAGGTCACCCAGCAGCTGCATGTGGAGGAGCGGAGACGTGAACCCAGTTCCCCAGATTACGAGACTACCGCTCTTAACCACTACACCACACTGGCTCTTAAAGTGGTATGAGGCTGCTTTAAAGGTATACAGTCATATCTCAGGTTGAAGTAGCTTCGGGATAAGTATGTTCGGGTTGCGCGCTGCAACGACCCGGAAGTAATGGAGCGCGTTACTTCCGGGTTTTGCCGTTTGCGCATGCGCTCAAAATGATGTCACACACATGCGTGGAAGTGGTGAATCGCGACAACTGAAGTTGCGTTCGCTTCAGGGTGCGAACAGGGCTCTGGAATGGATCCTGTTCGCATCCAGAGGTACCACTGTACTGCAAATGGAGCCTAATGCTGTGTCACAAAAGAGGCCTGTGTGTTATGAAAGGAGCCTGCTGACAAGTTTTTGTATACATTTTCAGCTTCAGAGTGGTGTGCATCCAATGTAAGAACAGATGTATTCAAAACAACAACAACCCCCCAAAATCCTGTGATCCAGACATGAAAAGTTTAATACATTATGAGTTAAGACCAACTGCTGCAAGCACTTTCTGGGGCAGAACCTGGTAAGGTAGGTTTCAGAAACGGGATTGACATTGTCTGCAGAATAGCTCTTCCTTGCCTTGAGTTGTTTGAAAGTGAGACATCAGTGCTCAGTGACCCACAGGGACTCGTCAGCAGTGCAAGAGATGACTAATAATCCTTCATGATGTGACAACCTGTGCCTGAATGGCTAACGCAGGCAGATTGCAAAAAAAGGTGAGCGAGAGGGGAGAAGCAGGCATCAAAAAGCAGCTTTGATTCATTCCAACAATATCTGCTTTGGAGGCATGACATGCAAAGGATGCTGTCAGATTGTCAGAAAAGGACAGCAGAAACCAACTTCGGTTATCTGCCAAGCGCAAACACAACCGTACTGGTACAATGAGGCTGCAAATGCACTAAATGTCGTGCTTTTTTTGGGGGGGGTACTCAAGGGTAAGCAGTACCGGCACTTTGTTGTTGTTGTTAAAAATGTGACACTTACTGTAACAACTTCATGGTGAGTAAAGGTAAAGGACCCCTGACAGTTAAGTCCAGTTGCGAACAACTCTGGGGTTGCAGAGCTCATCTCGCTTTTACTGGCCAAGGAAGCCAGCATTGTCTGCAGACATTTTTTCCGGGTCATGTGGCCAGCATAACTAAGCCACTTCTGGCACAACAGAACACCAAAACCAGAGCAGCACACGGAAATGCCGTTTACCTTCCCGCCGGAGCGGTACCTATTTATCAACTTGCACTTTGACGTGCTTTTGAACTGCTAGGTGGGCAGGATCGTGGTGAGTACCAGCACCTATTTTTCTAGAAAAAAAGCACTGACTAAAAGGTTCCCCTTTTCTTCAGACCCATCATCCCTTTGCCACCCTCCTAAACATCACTTTCTGGAAAGTCATTTGGAATTCCCAGCTGCCCCCGCACATGGAATTGCATGCCTCCCCTGTCCAAATTCTGCAAACTTATGTATAAAGTATTGTTTTATTGTTCTCTTGTTGAAACACCGCAATTATTTTTCTCAGGCTTGTGAACAACCACTTTACATAGCAATGGGGGAATTGGGGAGCAGGAGGGAAAGAGTCCTGAGCTGGGTTGGGGGCAGA